TTGTTACCAAAACGTTTCTATTGTTCCCACTAAATTGTTAAGGTTTTCTTTTTATAAATACAATTTTTGCTGTTCTAAATGCTGCTAAATTGGCAATCCTTTGCAACACCAAAAGTGTAAGAAATCTAGATTTAGTGCTAATGATTATCAGTTTTGGCTCCAAAATTTCGAGTTTTACCAACAAAAAGTGAAAAACTATGCCCGTCAGAATGTGATTTTTTTTGCTGATCTTGCCTCTGGAGTAAACATTGTTTACCAGTTTTGAAGTTTTACTGCCGAAAATATAATTGTTTTTGTCAAAATAATTGTCCCTGTTCATAGACGCTTTTATCAGTTTTACTGTTGAAAATGTATGGTAAAAAGTGATTTCTCGCAAAAGTTTTTTCATCAGTGACTAAAGCATAAAGTGCCAATTATTTCCACTATTGTCACTTTTGTCGGTTTTATGGTTAAAATGCATGTAAAAATGTTCATTATTTTCAACTTTTGCGCCCAAAAGGTGACGGATTATTTCGACAAATCGTAGTAAAGCTTGGCGCCCAAACTGATAGAGTTAAAAATTTAGTGGGAATAATTGTCATTTTTGGTAGCAGAGGTTGAAAGTCAATCAAAGATGTTAATTGGAGTTTTGATTTACGGTTAAAAAATGGGCAATTTGGGACAAAAACTACTCTATATTTAGTTGCAACAGGAAAACGGGCTGCACTAAGCCACATTTGTTGGGACCAATTTCTATGTTTTTTTTTACTTTTCCTGATTATATTTGGTGCATTGAACATGGAGTATTCGGTGATAATTTTTCATTTGCACAAATCTTCACCATCTGATCAGAGTTACAAATACTCCCAAAAGTAAACACTGTTTTTTACCAATTCTGTCACAAAGGCAATTCATTGAACCAAAACTTTTTGGTTGCTCAGTTCAAGAGGATGAATACAAAAAAAATGTTTCACCTGATCCTACATGAATTCTTGCGCTTCTTCATATCTACAGTTACACCTACACTCTCACGCCGTAAGTAACTCGACACCCAAACAATCCGAAAAGTTGAAAACCGACACGTTAGAATTTCCATCTTTTCACGACAAATAAAATTCGGTCATTAAACACACGAGGAACGGCAGAAAAAAAACAACATTCATATTGAATCAGTTCAAGTGAATAGAACCGATGGGTCATAAACGGGGTTTGCTCGCACACAATATCGTTAATCGGTTTAATTCAAGAATGGTCCGTCGAGGACACAAAAGAGACCTTCGTTCAGCATATCGAGTGTCAAGTAGGTTCTCATGGTAGTAAAAAAGGCTCTTTTGCAAAACTAGGTATAAGAGTTACAAGTTTGGGCATTGGGGGATCGATCGCTGACTTGTCTGGTGCTCTTTTGAATTTTCGGGCACCTGATTTTTCGGCAGGTTGCTAAACCAGTGAATATCAAAAGCGGTGGCAGCATTTCCACATTAACAACCCCAAAAATATTACAGTTTTGAGAAAAGTGACGGAAATGCCTTTGTGTAAAGGGCAAATTATCGGATACTTGTTTTTTTGTTATAAATAAGTAAAAACGATTAGTGCAAGCAACATATTTCCTGAAAACCTTCCAAGGTTTTCTCAGATAATTAAAAGTATAGAAGTTGTTACATCCATGCCACAAATACCTCAGAAGGGTCCAATTCCATTGTTCTAACTATTAATCCAAGAAAGTGTCTGCTCTCAAGTACTTTTTCATGAAATCTGTGTAAAATGTAATATACGCAAATGGTATTCAACTGTGACAACGAGGTTGATTTAAACCAGAACATGAAGCCCAGTTTCACAACTCGTTAAAGGCTGTTTTTGTTGTTACTAACCAACTTTCGAAAATCTTTAAGGTCTGTTTTGTCCATACGAATTACATTAAACTGTTTTAAATTTATGCAAAGCCTCGCTCACACAGGGGCGGAACCAGTTTTAAATTCAGGGGGGGTTATGTAGAAAAAATACAGTCTTCTGTTGTCTATGAAATTAGAAAAATTATCATCGTTTTGTGCAAGGGTAGCCTAAGATTATTGCAAAATTTCATGTTTTCCGTCCCGTTTTGCATGTTTCTCGGAAGCAAAATGAGCAAGAACGCTCGTTTTTACATCATTCCAAAG